GGAAGGTGAGAGCCTCGCTTCCTCTGGATCCTGCTTACGCTGCACTTGGGAAAGGGATAAGCTGCTACTGCTGTGAATAATATCTCTAAAGAGCTGTCATTAGATACTTATCAAAGTCCCTTCACGTTTTTCAGCATAGAATGTAAATAAAGCTAACAATTTAAAAAATAAAACACGACCCATGCTATTCCTACTAGTTAGAGGAAGCACTGCTGTGTTTTGACCCCTTACTAGAGTTTGTGGGCAAGTGCCATGTCTTGATTTTTACCATGGGCTGACACACTGAGGAGAGCCTTAGGGATGTGCTGGAGATACTGTCCCGGGGCAAGAAAGATCTGATGGCTTCAGGCTTGTACTTTAGGGATGCTCATTGAGAAAGGTGTGTGGGTAGCTCAGGAGGATAATGGGCATATCCTGTAGTTAAATCTGTATATCTCTAGCACTTTCAAAGGATATACATCTATGTGATGCATTATTTTATATAATCAGGCCTTCATCTAGCCATTATTTCCCTTGTATTAGGTAGGAGGAGGTCTTTTTGATAGCAGCTTAACTGAAATTTTGGCTTATTCTGCAGAGAGCGATTAATTTATGGACTTTAAAATACCCCTATAAGTAGGGTGAAACATTTTTTCCACTTTAGCATCTAATCCCCGGGAAACTTAACAGGCAGGCTGCACGTATCTGAAAGCATCAGTAGGAGGGTTTTTTTCCACGCTAGGGCTACCGAAGAGGGAGCGAGTTCTGGAGCCAACCCGATCGTATCGGAGATGAACTCACGGGCCTCATGATGACACTGACTCAACGGGAACGTGGCTACCCAGAGCCAGTCACTCACGTGGGGAAACCTCGGACCGTCCGCCGGGAAACGGGTGAGGCAGCACCAGGGTGGTGATCCCGCAGAAATGGGGTGTGAGGGTGCAGCAGCAGAGCCACAGAGCGGCTCCTGTTAGCAGAGAGGCTCACATTGCTGTTTCCCACTCGGTAGCTGCAGCACAAGGCACTTCCCAGGCATCCTCAGCTGGGCCCCCAGTCGCTACAGAGGAGATTCACTGCGTGGAAGACTGAAGTACTGCAACTTCGGTGACTTGCCTGGGGTGTTGCTACAAAGCAGCTCATCCTAGTGGGCATGAAACTTAAGCACTATGAGATCAAAGTTTGACAGAGGGTGGGGAGTAAATAGGTGTTTGGATGTGTAGACAGTGAGCTCTTGTGTGGGTGTTTCCACAGGTTTGAAGTCTCCAAAGGCGGCCACTTTCCGCCTAACGTGGGATAAGAGTCTTTTCCTGAAACATCGACGGCAGGAACTAAAATCCATCCTAGAAGAGCTGGATTTTTACGAACCAGTAAGACAGGAGGAACAAACATATTTGTATCGCTCTTATCTTCTTACAGGCTATAGAATAGTGTACAATTGACTAGGGACTGGATTAGAAAAAGGTTTAAAAATCTAGAATTTAGCCATGCAGTACTTATCCTGAAAGTTATTGCATTCCAGAGGGGAGTCACAGACATGAAAGGAATGTCTAGCCTCCTAAAATGATGTGTGGAATGGGTTAGATGCCTCAGAATATGACCCCAGACCAGCAGTATGCAGCTGCCAACACCTAGGCAATAAATAAATAAATAATAATAATAAAAACAAGGGATTTTGATTTAGTGCTTCAAGCAGAAAACATCCTTACCCACCTGGAGATACATATCCAAAATCTTCTCAAGACAGGTAGCCCCTTCTCTTAAAAAAACAACAACAAAAACCCTGATCTTTTCTTTCTGAAACCTTGTGGTGGGGATGAGAAGGATGTGGAGAGGGAGCTTTTCCAAGTTTGCAGAATTTGTAGTGGGAATGCAGTCACCCATGATTCTCAGAAGAGCCAGAGCCTGTTCCTTCTGTCTCTTCATCTAGAAATAGTCATAGGAACAGGATACCTAAACGTCACTGTATTTGTTCTTGGTTGAATTGGTGCTATTCTAACTTCCTTTCTGTATAAAAAGGAAAATTACAAGTTGGTGACTCTTTTTGTGTATGTGTTCAGGATTTGGATGGACTGGAGGTGATTGGTAAAGGCCAGCCTTTCACCTTTGTTTCAACACAGCCTCTGCCACATCCCACCACCTCTGAAGAGTCTGAAAAGCTGTAAGTTGTATTTCACAATAGAAATATGGAATTTTGGGTATGTACCATCAGTCTGAAAGGGTGTCCTTAGCTTTCCTTATCTGGAATGGCGAGGAGCCTCAACTGGAGACTGAAAAAAGGCCTGTTTTAACTTTAAAATCACCAGATTTAGGGAGAAAGCAGTTCATGTGTGCCTTGAGGCCTAGTGATTAAAAAACAAAAATCAAGAAAAAAGTGGATGGTTTTTTTTTATTTTTTGTTTTTTATTTTAAAGGCTCTTCTTCCAGTCCAAATGGTCACCATCTGGTTTTCTTGCCCATCCGTGTCCCCTGAACCCACGGCACAGCCCTGAGGTCATTTCTCCTTGCTCAGTCACGTGCCCTCAGCTTTCCCTAGGCACCTATCGTTCTTGTTCTTCTCTGTATTGTTCCGGCTGTCCTGCCCTTCTTAAGGTGACAAATGTGTAACTGGAGTTTGTTTACCCATGGGAACCCGATCTGCAGGGCTTTGTTCTTAAAGGGAGGACTGTGCAGAATCACTAGCCAGTTATTTCTTGTTCGGTGGCAGCTCTTTGATTCTTCCCTACCTTAAAATGAATTTTGTTCCACAAAACACTGGCTGTTGTTTTGTTTAGCAGTGACCCCTTTACAGACTATCCCAGTGCGGTTCCAGAATCAATCCTGGGTCCGTCTTTAGATTTCTGTGGCCAGCCTGCTCGTTGGATCAATGGTACCGCCTCTTGCAAGGTATATGTGCACTTTTTAATGTCTAATCAAGTTAAGCCTGCTTTAGTTCCTAAGTCACAGCTGAGTATCACTCCCAGGGCAGAGAATGAGCAATTTATTCTGAGCATAATGGAGTATCCCTGTGTTTGCTCTGGAGAGATCTCAAAGCACAAGAAGTTCCTGTGACTGTGGTGAGAAGCTCACATTCGTGGGCTCTGTTTAATGACCACTTGCTTGGACCTGCCTTACAGGTTCTCCTACCAAGGTTCTACCCTACATTTGTGGTATTACTTCAGGCGAGATAAATCTTGCCAGATAGAATAGAAATTGTTATCTCTGTCCTTTTCTGTTCCTTGTAGGATGAGGTTGGCATTGCTGCCCGGCTCACCTTCGAGATTGTGGCTGGTGAAAGAGCTGAGAGCTCCCTGACAGTGAGCAACGATGGCACAACTGCCATCTGGTACAGCTGGAGGAGGCTTCCTCAGCAAATTCCCATCCGAGAAACAAAGAAGGGAATACAGTATTTTTACTTTAATACCAGACCAGGTAGGAGAACTGCTGATCTCTGAGACCTTTGTACACATACCAGGAAGCACACGCTCAGAAACTGCTGACTCTGACCTTGCAGAGCAAGCAACTGCTGGTGATTCTCCTTAGAAAGCTGTACTGGGCCCCAGAGCTGACTAGCACCTGAAAGGTGTGTGCGGCCAATCCATTTCATGGGGTTTAAGGAAAAGGATTTCCATCCTTCTCTGAATGTAAATGGGTAGAACATCTAACAGGGAATCCTTTTTTCATTGCAAACTGCATAATCTGCCAGTGAGAGTGCTGAGCTTGCTGTGAAAGGAGCATGCGGTGATTAAAGAAAACAGTTCAGTACCATGGCAAATGGGAGTAAATCTGGAAGGAGAAATAAATGGATGAACTGTGATAAAGAGCAAAGCTGTGGGAAAACATCAGGGTGTTTGGAAAGCGATTGGGTTAACCAAATAGTTTCTTACAGACTTGCATCTTTTCTGTGTTTTTGCAGATGTAATTTTGCCTGGAGAAACTAGGAAGTTTTCAGTTATATTCAAGTCAGAGAAAGCAGGAATTTTCAGTGAGTCCTGGGAATTTAGGACACATCCTCTGTTATTAGGAGGAGCTCTGCTGCAGGTGTCCCTTTGGGGAATTGCTGTGTATGAGGATAAACTGGCTGACCTCAGAGAGAAACTGGAGGTAACCAAGCAAGTAACTGGGTGACTGTGGGCTTTGAACTTACTGTGCAAATAGAGGGTAAGGAAGGGAGTGGATGACGTGGTATTTTTATTACCATGCAATTAGGGCCAAGTGAACATCTGCACATACTTAATCAGGTGTACTAGATAAAATGGAAGAACAACTCCAAAGTCTATTGTAGTATTTTTAATAAAGATGTGATTTTTATCTCCTAAATTACTTACATTGGTCCTTTTAAAAAATGATTTTTCCTTCGTTAATGAATTTCCTCAGTTACTAGTGGGATGGGATTGTCTCGTACAATTATTCTTGTTGTGGTCCTGTATTATGTGTATATATTCTTACTAGCATGGGTGTTATGTTCATGCATTTGTTTGTGGAAGGGGGCTCAGACATGTTGTGCTTGTTGTGGTGCCTCAGGCTGACCTGGCTGCTCGAGAAGGGGTCGTTATAGTAGAAGAGACCCTGAAGGAACTTCTTGAGCGGGTTCGGACTCCAGAGCGCCCTCCGTCTCCTGTGGATGCCTATGTCACAGAGGAGGAGTTATTCCACGAGAGGAATCCAGAGGTGAGGTTGTGTATCTGATACGTCGTACAGCAGGGAAGGAAGACTTGCAGGGCTGGTGTGTCCATGGGTTTCTGGGTGCTGGTGGAGTCAACCGTGGTGGCTTTAAGAATTAAGCTTGTCGAGGAAAGTCATAACTCATTTGTCTCTTTTCCTTTTTCCCTCATGTTACCAAAGTTGCATTATCAGCATCAAGTGGTAAAACAACTCCATAAACTGTGGAGACAGCATATGGCTGTTCCTTCAGCCTTTGAGGAGGAAATACCCTCAGGCCAGAGGAGCTCTGTGGAGGACACGACGTATGAGAAGAGTATCTCAGAGGCTCTCCCTGCCCAGAAGAGCTCCACGCAGGAGGTTCTAGGTCATGACACTCTTGAGGCAACTCCGAGTCAGATGATGAAGGAAGAAGAACCAAACCAGTCAGGATGGAACCTTTCCCTCAAGGACTTTAAGGAGGTGGTTGCCCCTCTTCCCTCTAGCTCTATGGTTAATGGTTAAGTTAATGGTGTTTTTGTTTTCCTTACAAATAGCCTGGCACACGCCAGTGTGAGCCCACCCAAAGGTCTCCTTGCAATGTGCTTTGTGTTAGACATGATTTATGATGTGTGTCACAAAGTGTTTTGTCTCTGCTGACCACACCCTCCATGTTCTTGTAAAGAGATTCCCAGGAGAGACTTCGAGGGCTGTTGTGTGAAGAAGAAAAGAGAACCACACAATGTAATAGATATTTTAAGCTTGTCGCCATTAGCTTTCTCTCATCCTAGAACTGCGCGTGGGGAAGAGGGAGCAGGCTAATCCTACAGCCTCCCGTGACTTCTCCAAGGGCTCTTCTCCTTGAAGAGTCCTTCCTATTCATCGGAGCACTCATGACAGGCTGTGGATAAAATACAGACTTCCCTAGATTAAAGCAAGGGTAGTTTGGGCTCTGTCAGCACAGTTTTTCTGCAGTGCTCTCCTGGAAATTTTCTCATCTGCCTTTTTAAGTAATTCTTACTTGCAGCCCTTTTAATTCATTAGAATCCCTTTTCTCCAATACAAGGACTGACTGTACCTCGGAAGTTAGAAAGGGGTGTATTGTGGTAATCCCTCAGTATCTCTGAGGGATCTGGGATTGCTTCCCAGATCTTGGATTGCATACACGCACTGGCCACATCCCAGCCGTGCAGCAGGCTCCACGGGGTGTGTAGATGTGCTGCATGCCCAGGTGTGCAGGCAGGCAGCCCTGCTCCTGCGCTGGGTCCAGGCTCTGCGTGGCTGGGAATGACGGCTGAGATGTGGTCCACGGACCTCGTGTTTTCTCTCTCATCAGGCTCTGCAGTCAATCCCTGAGGAGGAGCAGCGAGAAGCAGCGCTGATCCAGCTCAATAAGGCAGCCCTGGAGCTTTGTGCTGAACAGAAGCAAACTCAGTCGGATCTTCCGCATCAAACCTGGTGCGCTCCCTTTGCAAGATGAGCCTTGTACATGTCTTGCATGCTCGATACCCTTAGCAAGCTCCACTGCAAGCTTCGTGAGTCAGAGAGCAGATAATTATATGTGGTCCAGAAGTCTTCTCTACACTGTGTTTTTATACATTAATTGTAGCAGCTGTCTAGGTCCCAGATACCACTTTATTCTGGAGATAAATCTCAAATATTAAATTCCTGTAATTTTGGGAAGTATGCAGGATTATTTGTGGCAAGAATACTCTAAACTATATTTATAAAACCATTGGGTAAGTTTGTCTACTATTATAGTCAGATTACAGTATTCTCGGTCTGTCTGTTTTTTTCCTTGGAGCTTTAACACTGTAAACTATAAAACTTGGAGCTTTAGCACTGTAAACCAAAAAACTGTTTTTTTCCTCGGAGCTTTAACACTGTACCATAAGAGTCTCTAGTCCCGTCTACATAGGTGGAGGCATATATGTCTTGTTATATAGAGAGAACAGATTGCTGCAGATTTACCAACATGTATGTGTCATGCCAAAGAGAAGACCTAGTTTCACAATAATTTAAGCCATGGCTTATATTACTATTACTACATTATGGAACAATTATTATGGGTCCATATAAGCCCATTGGCTTGCAAAACATCGAGACCTTGGAGATTCCAACCTCTAGAAAGTAATTAAGCCTCTCTTTACACAGCTTTTTAAATATTGGGTGTTATTTTATCTGGTTAGTTGGACAGAGCAGTAGCTCTTAGCTGTAAGGTGCCTTCATTCATGGGCACTGGGTAAAGTAAGACAGCCCTGCCTCTCCCTTTCAACCCCATGAGTTTTGCTGCATTGTCCCTGTTCTGTTTTTGATTCTTTTGCTTCTCAGCCTGCAGCTGTGGCGTGAAACAATTGATGGTCTGGTAAGCTGCTCTGTAATGTTGAGGTGCCTGCTTGGCTTGCCTGAAAAAGACCCCTGTGTAGACATCGTTCCAGAGGAACCAGGTAAAGGGTAATTTTAGCCTGGCAACCAGTTTCTCTAGACTGTTACAAACCCCCCAAACGGGATGAATTTAAGTTGAAATGGCAGCTCTAGCAGTTTCTCCTCAAGGCTTTATCAGAAATCTACCAGAAAAATATAAATAAATAAATAAATAAATAAAGCATGATGCTAACTGTAATTGTAGTATGGTATCATAACAACAAATTGGTCTTTTATTTTAGATAGATGTAGTTCTAGTTCTTGCACAAACTAAGCCCTCCCCAGTCTCATTGTTAGCTATTTTACAAACTTGTTCTACTAAATGCTTTAGACCTGTTCAGTCCTTATTTGAACAAAGTACTTTTCAAAGTCAGGGTTTTGTCACTGTATAAATAAATACAGATAAATAGAAAGAGGAAAATAGACTACTGAAATAATGTACTTGGATTGCATGGGTGTAGTGAGTTTGTCTTTCTAAATAGGTAAATAATGCTTTTGGGCTATTGGAATTCTTTCTTTTGTAGTGGAAGTGCAGCTACTTGTAAAAGGAGAAAAGGAAGACAAAATAACCACTAGGAAAGAAGAGAGAAGATCAGTTGGTAGTAGGGATAAAGAAGACAAAAAAAGATCAAAGACATCATGGAAAGAGAAAGAGGTATGTGTTAGGATGTAGATTTAAAACTGCACATTGGGTTCTGGGGAGAACCTGATGCCTTCCAAGACTTTGTATTCTGAATTTGAGCTCCGTTCCTGCCTTTGGAAAGAGGTGCTGTTTCTGAGGTGAATCTTGCTGTGCCTTGGGTTTTCTCTTTCTTCTTTTGTGTCTCTGAATAGGAACGTCCAAACAGCAGAAAGATAAAAGATGAGAAAAGGCAAAAATCTTCCAATATATCTCTGGAGTTACCACAACCTGTGGAAACTGAACTTGCAGATGCAGTAGAACTACAGCAGGAGCCAGTGGACCCTATTTTGTTTGGGAAATACCAGGAAAAACTTTATATTGAAGTGAGTCTCGCCAAGGCTTATATCTGTCTTTGTTTCTTGTTCTTTGCTGGTAAGCTTACGATGAAGCTAGGTGGAAAGGGAAGCATTTTGTTAACTTTGGAAAGCTGATGGGTAGAGACCCATGATTCTGTAGCAAGGTAAGTGCGAAATACAAGGTAAGATGTCCTTTATTCCAGCCCAAAATCTGTTAACATAGAAATCCCGCACGAGGCTGGATTTATCTGGGATGTCTTCAGCAGACTCTTGAGGGATCGGCAGAATTAATTGTATCTCAGATAATGTTAAACACACTTTATAGCCAGAAAAGTTATTACTAGAGCTAAAATCTGTTAGCAAGCAGCAACTTTTATGGGACACTGCACGTGCCTGTATGTGCATGTGCTCCTGTGTGAGAGGTCAAGTCTCTGTTTTGTCATTCTTGTCACCAAGATTTAGGGCATTTTCGCTGTTACTATCATCTATTAATTTCTGCTGCAGGTTTACGGGCTGCTGGAATCAATGGTGGACAAAATGGTTATTTTATTTGAGGATCTAAAGGAAAAAGGTGCTGTAAAGCAGGAGGGAGGAGCATTTTCTATCTAGAAATAAATTGTAACTTTAATAAATACCTTGTCTGCATGGATTAAGTGGGGATTCTTTTTTATCAAAATGCTTACAAATAGTGGGGTGCCTGTTTGCTGGTATGTTGTGATGGGAGACTGTTGCTAGATCGTCTGTTACTCTGCAGGGAACACTTGCCAGCAAGAAACCAAGCCATGGGATACAGCAGCCTGAAAACAAGACTCCAGAATGCTGGTTATTTCTGCTCAGAGAGGAGAATTCAAAAGTACCAAACAACAAAAGACAGGATTTTTGTTGGTGGTGGTTTTGTTTATTTTTTTAAGTAGGCAGGTACGGGCTGTGGGCTGATGGGTGAGGACGCAGCATTAGCCAGTCCTCCCTAACCATAAAGCATCTCCCTGTGAAGGAGTGAGGAAGGATCCCGCTGGAAACGGGCTGTCACCACGGGCTGTGCCACCTCGCTTAGTTCTTTTCACGTGGATTTATCCCTTGGGCTGCTCCTGACATCTCTTTCCATGCAGCTCAGTGTATCCACATCCTGTTCTAAGACATATCTTTCTACCAAGACTAATCACTTTTGAATTAAAAATAATGAAATCAATGCCGTAAGTAATTGAGCAAGTTTGGGCCCTGTGCTGGAGCCGCCCTTCCTGTCTCCGTCAGCCTCTGTGCGTGCGCACACGTCTGCTTTTATCGTCCTTATCTCTCCGGTTTCCATGTGCATCGCAGCTGGAGTGGGAGCCCGTTGTGGAAAGGCATCAGTTGGAGCAGTTGGCGCTGGCTCAGAAGGCGCTTTCAGAAACTTGGGCGCTAAAAGGAAGTGTCAGGGAGGTAGGTTGTGTGTCCGTGTGTCCGCGGTGCCTTTGGATTCTGAGCCCATACGCCCTAAGCACCACGGCTACGAGCCATGTCCATCACGACACCACGGGGTCCGGGGGCCTCGGCCCTGGGCTCTTTTACATGGGAAAGCAGACAGACACGTGTCTCCAAAACCTGCAAACAATGTAAAATAGCTGTTCCCTGTGCGGAATGGTTTTATTTTGGCATCTCGTGCTCTCCGGGGGGATCGTGCCTTGTGTCCTCCCCTGCGTGGCTTCTCGCTGCCGCCCTGTGAGGCCCTTCATGAGCGTCCCCGACGCTTTCCCTTAGCAGGGCCAAGGGACGCGCCGTGGCTTCCAGGGAAGGCCGGAGCTCCTGTGGCTTAGCAGGCACGGAGCCATGGCGGGAATGTCTCTGCTCAGCACGGCTCTGGTGAGGATTTCAGCAGCATTTGGGAATTACCAGGAGAAAGGCCCCAAGTTGGGGTGTGTCTCCAGGCTCTGACAATAGCTCCTACCTCCCTGGAGATCGTTATCAGCTTGTGAATATGCCCAAGCCGTCCCTCGTCCCTCGTGTAGGCAGGAAGGCCGCAGAGCGCGGAGACAACGTGGCCGTCTCAAAGACGGGGACAGTTTTGTTGCTGGTCTCACCTTGGACAGCAGAGTCCATGTCAGACTCACGCAGCCAGCCCAGCCTGTCCTCTGGGTGCATGGGAGCTGCCCATGAGTCACGTCCTCCTGGAGCAGTGCTGGATCTTTCATGGGGCAGAGGCTGGTGCACGGGGAGGGCAGCGGGATTACTACAGAGAGAAATAACCTGAATGCTGGGAATAACCTACCCTTGCTCTGATTAATGGTGCCAGTGCCTCCTCCGGCTTCCCAGGCCTGGACAAGGAGCTCCTCCGGGAGAGTGCACAAACACGAGCCAGGAAGGGATCTGCTGGCTCAGCAAGTGCTGTCTGGCATCTGTATCTCTGAATCAGCTTTTTTTTTTTTTCTTCCTTTGCATTAAATATTTGTGCAAGTTCCATGGCTGGAAGTCCGTTGGACTTAGCCTGGCTCCCAGGGAGGTTTGTAGCCCGCTTCGAGGCCTGCGCGAGCGGGCAGGGGGGCTCTGCTGTTGGCGCTTCCTCCGAAGGCCCTGGGGACGCCGCAGTCCCTGTAACCCAGCTCCCTGCCACCAAGCGAGAACAATGCTCCTTCTTCTGCCCGACTTGGCCGTTATTTGTATTAGTGTTAATAATTTGTGTCGTGTTTGCTGAATAACTGAGGTGAGTAACCTCGCCGGCCTTGCGCGTTGCGGGTCCAAGCCCCGGAGGGGAGGACACAGTGACCATCCGCGAGGCCGGGAAGGGGGAGTCACCCCCTCTGTCCCACGTGCAGGGCCGGAGCCTCCTCTGCGGGTCCCGCAGCGCCCCGAGGGCTCCCGGTGCACGGGAGCTGCTTTCCGGGATGGAAAATGTCACTGATATTAAAGAGAATATATATATCCATAAAACTTGAAAGCCTGTCACTGATTAAAATGGAAGGCAGAGGCCGGGAGCGAGGGGGTGGCATCGAAGCGATGGAGAGACATGACTGATGCTGTGCTGTCATCTGATGCCTCCTCTCTCCCCGAGCCAGACTTTAGGAGCAGGGGAAGCATCTGCTCCAAATATAGATCCTGCAAAAAAAAATTAATGAGCCCAAATTGCAACGGCGGCCG